ATAAATATTTTTCTTCAAAATTGGAATGTATTATCAGAGAGAGCCCCCAGACATACATCTATGAAAGAAACATTAATTACAATGGACTGACTTATTACCTGTAACTACGCTGAATTCAAGATCGATTTCTTGGATTTAAATTCTGAGATTTATCCAGGAAAGAATGCACTTTTGGTTAAGTATTTCAGAAAGTTTACACAAATACACCCTTCAGCCCCAAGAGAAAGAAGAAAAAGAGAGGAGGGGAGGGAGAAGGAGAAGGAGGAGAAAGAGGAGAGGAGAGGAGAGGGATGGAAAGGAAAGGAAAGGAAAGGAAAGGAAAGGGAAGGGAAGGGAAGGGAAGGGAAGGGAAGGGAAAGGGGACAATCAAAGAAAGGAGAGAAAAGAAAAAAACCTAACCATTTATTACAGGTAATCCTCAACTGACGACCACAGTGGAGCCCAAAATTTCTGGGGCTGAGACATTTGTTAAGTGAGATTTCCCCTATTTTACGACCTTTCCACCTCAGTTGTTAAGTGAATCATTGCAGTTGTTAAATTACAATAGTAACCTGAGGGTAAAATAAATCTGGCTTCCTCAATTGACTTTGCTTGTCAGAAGGTCACAAAGGGGGAATCACGTGACACACACACACACCCCCGGGACACATGGCAACTGTTATAAAGGAGGAGGAGGAGGAGGAAAATGGCGACAACGACAACCATGACTATGGAGTCCTTGGTATGCTCTCTGAGCTCACGGTGTTTCCTTGCAGACTCTTCATTACCCAACTAGGGAACATTAGCAGCACTAGAAGGCAGGAGGGGGAGGAGGGGGAGGACTGGAGGAGCCCTTGGTGCTCTCTGAGCTTGGGTGTTTTACTGCAGATGTTTCATTATCGAAGTGGGGAACATCATCAGTGCTAGAAGGGAGGGGAGTTTGTGAGGAGGAGGAGGAGGAGGAGGAGGAGGATGGGGAGGAACCTGGTATCGGTGTCTCTGAGATTGCTTGTTTTTTGCAGACATTTCATTACTCAGGTAGGAAGAGGAGGAGGAGGAGGAAGAGGAGGAAGATGACTGTGGGAGTCCTTGGTGCTCTCTGAACTTCTCTTCTTGCAGACGTTTCATTACCCAAACAAGGCAACGTCATCAGCGCTAAGGATGCTACCTAGTTTGATAATGAAACGTCTGCAAGAAAACCGCCAAGCTCAGAGAGCACCAAGGATCCCCCACTTCAACCCTGAGCTGCCAATATTCTCCTTTTATTGAGTGACAGGGGTGTTTTGGAAAGCCAGAGTGAATGGCTATTTTCCAAACCCAAGAAGGGCTCGTTCTTTGCCACATGAATAAACCAACTCAGAAATTCCAACTGAAGCTTTACTTATTTGTTTGTTAAATTTATTTACCACCTATCTCTCCAGGGAGCTACTCCGGGCGGCTCGCAATAATAAAAAGGAAGAAGAATGAAAAGAGCGTAAACAGAAGGAAAACAACAGGACAATAAAATAAAACAATGACAGAGGAACGTGGTGAAAATAGGAATACAGTAACCCCACGTATGGATGGAGGCGTTCGAGCTTAACCAGGGAAACAGATTTAAAAGGCAGGCTGAGAAATTGAAGAGATAAAAATCGCTTCAGCTTTCAATGTCAAGGGTTCGGTATTTCACAGATTACCTGAAAACATTGTTCTTATTAAGACCCAGTAGAGGACCAATCCATTTTTCCTCTCTTTAAAATGCACATTCTTCCCAGATCAACCCACGGTTCAGGAAGATCTCTAACCCAGCTAAAATTCTACACCCGCTTGCCAGCTGTTAACATTCCTCATCTAATCCTTTTTTGCAAGATGTCCAGAGGTGATGGGCCTTCCTCAACTTAACAGAAAATTGCGCTGTCAGGTCTCGTTAAGGAGAAGAGGAAGGAAAGAGCTTGGGGTTTTGCTCGCGCTTGTCTCTCTCCCGCGTGAGTCAAACACAAAGCTGGTTACTAAATTCAGGCGGGACTGGCTCTTATCCTTGAGGTCCTTGGAAGAATTTAGGATTCCTAACCAAACCATCTGTCATGGTTAGCATGGATTTTGAGAAATGCTGGCATGTGTTTATGTATTTTCTTTGGAGACCGGGCTGCAAGTTGACTAGAAACAAGACAGTGGAGAAGCGAGAGAAAGTAATCCTTGGGAAAAAGAAAGGTGCATTTTCAAATATTACTAAAGCCCAAACTTCAACCTTTTTAAAAAAAAAAAACCTCACTTAAGTCCAAACTCTATACACTCTGGCCAAATAAAAATTCCCACTAGAGCCAACCGTCTGTTCTGATTACAAGAATGTAAACGATTTTGCCATTTAATTTTCCCTCCATAAGAAATCAATATTATATTTTTCTTCCGGTTTTATGACTTCTATCATAAAACACCGCAGACTGGGTTTGCCTATTGCCCTATCCCATTAAACCATGGTTTATTTAACTGCTAATAATGTACCAACTATCGCTATCTGGGTTCATACACCGCTCTAAACCATCAGGCAGCTTGATTTTGGTATCTTATTGGGAGAGAATTAAGCTCCAAGGTCAACCAAAGCTATGGTTAACACGGGCATGATTTAAGAGACATTAAAGGGATTTGGGGGAACAAACTTTGATTAATAGCTCTCAGGCAGGAAAACAGAACCTCCACATTCACTGGTTGAGTAAGTAAAAATCTCCTTGGCTAGAAAACCATCGCCTTCAGTCTTCCTGGAGGAATCTTAACAGGCAAACCACGTTAAGTAAAACTTTGAACTGGTTCAAACATATCTATTATTTTAGTGGTTGTTACATTTTTGATTGACTAGCTTTCTCTTAAAAAATAAGCAATCTTCTAAGACAAATGAAGGCGAATATATGGGTCCCACAATAATGTTGCAGGATCCAATCTGGGTCTGTCATGGGGACCAACCTCTGGTTGACCCAGATGGAATCCTGCAGCCTTCTAAAAAGCGCAAATGATCTGCAAAATGTTCTACCTGCTTTTGATTACAAATAACAGAAACTAGTGGGTATTTTGAGAATTTAAGAATTTAGCTTCCAGCGTTTTTTTTAGAAGTTTATGATTCCGATGCCTGAAGTAAGTTCAGCTCTACTTCCTAGGCGATAGTGACATCTGCTGGACATCTGCTGCTCCCCAAAGGAGTTTGATTTACCAAATTCCAAGCAAACTCGAGTGAAGTTTTAGAAAGTTTTATTACTATTATTTATCAAACGTATAGGCTGCCCATCTTACAATCAAGTAACTCTGGGTACATAAAAACAAAGGTACAGAATATTAAAAGGATTATTTTTAAGGAGCTTTGCAAGGTTGGAAAGCACAGACCTTGAAACCCTAAGCATTTTCAGCGGCTCAGCTGTTTACAACTCTTTACGGCAGTTCAGTAAGCGCACTCACGCTTACAGGAAATGCAGTCCTCGACTTATGACAACGATTGGCTTCACTTGTCAGGTGGTCACGTAAGGGAATCACACGACCCTGGGGCCCTGCAACCGTCATAAACGTGGAACTGTTTTGCCAACCATCGGAATTTTGATTACATGACCACAGCAATGGTCGTAAGTGTGAAGAACGTCCGCAAGTCCCTTCTTGGGATGTTAAATGGTCACTAAATGAACAGTTGTAAAGTCGAGGACTACGTGTACACTTGTCTCTGAAAAGTGCCTCTCCCAACCTTTTGGGCACCAGGGAGCGGTTCCATGGAGAGAGGTTTTACCACGGACCAGAAGGGCTGCGGTTTGGTGTTCTGCCTGCATCCTGTGGGATGGGACTTCGCTTGTTTGTGCGGCCCAGTTGCTGAAATGCTGCAGACCGGTGTCGGTCCATGGGCCAGGAGTTGGGGAGACCCAATAATCTAGAACATGATGGTTCAAGCAGCTACGGGTACCTGTTGTGGCATGTTGGGAGGCTAGAAGGAAGAGGAGGCATGGGAGTCAGGATCAGCAGTGTGGCAACCTGAGAGCTCTGAAGGGGAAGTGGAAATGGAGCTGTCAGAGAGAGAGAGAGAGAGAGAGAGAGAGAGAGAGAGAGACTCACACACACACACACACACACACACACACACACACACACACACACACAGATGGAGCCTGGGCTGTCCGTCAGCCCTCAGGTGAAGCATCAACAGCCCCCAGGTCTGGAGGTGGCTGATGTGGAAGAGGAGGAACAGCTGGGTCCAGTGCCTGACGAGCGGATGCGCAGAAGGCAGAGGAGAGGAGAGCAGTGGAAATCTATGGGCCGGTCCTTGGGACGGAAGAGCCACCGCTGCTAGAGACCAGCTCTGGGGATCAAAGGCAGGGGGCGGAGACGAATAGATGTGGCAGACAACTATTCATCTCCCAGACGGATGGACTTGTTAACCTGCGGTGGGAGAGAAAACTTTTGGCAGGGGCTGCTAGCGCTCCTGATAAAAGGAATCTTGTTGAGTTTGTGTCAGAGGGTTTGTCGTGTTTGGGGAGCTGAGTGAGAACAGCACGAGTTGATCTTTCTCATACAGTACCTCTGCTTGAAACACCAACTGCCGGTCCAACTCCAAGTCCTATTTAAACGTTCACTATAAGGTCGAAGGAAAGCTACACCGAAAGGCGACATGACCACTGTTCATCACCGTGCCTGCTTCTCATTGTGAAAAGACACAACGACAATACTTTGCAACAATCAGAAGCTGCTTCTGCACATCTGGGAGGAGACTGTGGAACTATTTCTGTTCGTTTTCTCCCTTTGCATTAATCTTCATTTTTTAATAAGTGTAACGCATAATGAAAATGTGATAAAAGAAGAACCGCCACAAGAATATTCATCTCGTAAAGGATGACATTACAACGCCTTCCGTTGAGGGCAAAAGAAACAAAACTTTCAGCAAGTCAACATTAAAGCGATCTTGAGGATAAAACGAGGTTACTATGCAAGGAGCTTAGGGCTATCACTAATGTCCCCCATAGTGTAGGAAAACCTTTTTTCAGTTCAGCCGCTTCTTAATTGGAAGCCGGGAGTTACCTTAGCAAAGAGAAGACGTCATATGAGTTACGCACACAATTGGGATCCACTTGCAGATTCTTTTGGATTTCTGAGACACCCTTAAAGACAAACAAGACGGTGCGTTAACGTTTTTTGTTTTGGTAACACTGAAATTAAAGCCTTTCTTCCTAATTAAAAATATTCCACTTGCGTGTTCTGTCCACACACAGCGTTTACAGCCTAACCTTCACATGTGACATTTGTGTTTACCAACCTTCTCTCTTTATCCTCAAGCTACTTAGGAACCTATTCTTATTAATTAGATTTTGTCCCCCCTTATTTTTTATAAATAACTCAAGGCAATGAACATACCTAAGGCTCCTTCCTCCTCAGATTTCCCCCACAACAACAACCTTGTGAGGTGGGTTGGGCGGAGACAGAGTGTGTGTGGCTGACCCAAAGTCACCCAGCTGGCTTTCATGCCTAAAGTAGGACTATAACTCACTGTCTCCTGGTCTCTAAGCCAACACCTTTAACCACTAGGCCAAACTGGCTCTCTAAGTTTCACCGGAAAGTTAATTTTAATTTTAACAAAACTGAAAAAAAAATATCCTGGAAAGCTAACGTGCTGTGCGGGTTGATGATTTTTAAGAAGCTACAGATGCTCCAGTGGGTGTAAGCTTACCTTCCGTTCGTACAACGCTCCATAATAGCCATCATTCAGCCCAAAAATGATTTCATTCGGGCTACGAGCATGTATCTGTTAAGTAAAACCAGTGTCACAGATTCAGTCAGCTTACTTTAAAGCCATTGTTTTAGTTCTTTTAGCACCCAGAGTGGCATTCTTTGTAGGGATCGTTTGTTTTGTGGCATCCTTCTGTTATTCAGGTTCACCACTGACCCTATAGAGGGGAAAGGAAGAAGCTGAAACTCGATCCCCTGAGTGGACTCATTTTCTGGGCCACAACGAACATTGTAAGAGAGCTTAAAAACCAATACAAAATCACACATAACCTTCACTGTCAGGGGTCTCACAAAATCCGACATCACAATACATTTGTTAAGTCTTCGGGATTTAGAGTCTACTGAAGTACGCCAAAGCTAAACATCTGGAATTCACCGAAGAAGCTTCTTAGATGAGAAGTGAAACGTTTTCAAGGAAAAACAGAAAACAAGAAAAGTCTAGGGCCCTTTGGAAAAGCATCTTTGGGGCAACCATGACCTGGATGATTGAGAACCTCCATAGAGGTTTAACTATCTGGAACTTTTAACTAACTTGGCTAGATAACAAACAAGCGAATTGGATATACTTCTGTCTACAGATCATCAACTTTCAAAACGAGTGATTAACGAGACAATCATGTAGCCCAGTGGCTCATCCTTTGAGAGTGTGGTCTGATGTGATGAGAATCATCATCATCTTCATCATCTTAATGACCCCATCATCCCTTGCAGGGCGGAGTCTGGGCAACTGAATGAAGCCGAGTGTTTTAATGGCCAGATGCCCTTCTTGTCGCCAATGCAGAGTTCTATTCAGCAGATATATTCTCAACGTGCCCAGAGAGAGAAATATTTGCCTCTACCTAGGATCGAACTCACAGCCTCCTGATTGTGACGTGAGAGCTCCATCTCTAGGCCACCGCGCCATTCTGATATGACGAGAATGACCCTTACGTATTAAACTGATTGCATTTCTTTTACCCTAAAGCTGGACAGTCTCACGGTCATCTAAGAAAAGTATATATCATAAATTGAAAATCAATGTGAAGTTCTGTAACAAGTCAATATGTATCTAAACATACAGGAAGAGGGAGACAAATCAATGGGAGTGACATTTGACTTCCTGCTGACTTCCCCATTGACTTTGCTTGTGGGAAACTGGCAGGGAGCGTTGGAATCACGATCACGTGACTACAGGAATGCTGCAATAGCCACAATCCTGCACACAGAACTGATCTGAACATTGTGGACATTTTAGTTCCATGGAGTGATGAGTCCTGGATTCTTTTATGCATTTTTTAAAATTTAAAATTAATGGGTATTAGGCACCTTGACTTTTAAACTAACGGATTTTAGGCACCTTGATTCAAACATTGTTGTGGTATAATGTACAGCTTGGGCTATCTTGATGGTACGCACAGTGAAGAGTTTTACTAACGTATAGAAGATTTCTATTATCCTGCCAAAATTCCGTCCAGCATCTGCTAACTTTATATCTTGCGCCAAAAGTCCTTTGCAAAAGGCAACAAAACTTTCTTGTTTTTTTTTTTCCTTGAAAAAAATTCCCTTCTCATCCAAGACGCTTCTTCAGTTCTTCACATCAGAAGCTTCTTGGTTGAGAAGCGAAATCTTTTCAAGGGAAAAAAAAAAGCAACAACCGAGAAATTTCGGTTGCCTTTTGAAAAGGATCTTTGGGAGAACCCTGACCTATATGATTCAGCATCTCCACAGACACTTATCTCTTGCAACAATTCTTTGCTATTCCATCAACAGATATTTGCTATAAATATCCTTAAATAGCCAATCCAAGTTGAAACGGTATACTTTATTCTTTTACCTGCTGGCCCAAATATTTGAGTCCATCTAGATTGACTTTCCACTCAATCAGTAGCTGATAGGTGTCATTCTTGCCACCCCATATCCTCACCACAAAGCAGGATACAGACGTATCAAGGCGGTCAGGCATTAGACCAAAATCAAGGCTTCGCCATGTTGGATTCTGTTAGGGTGGAAGAAGAGAAAATGAACTGTAAATACTCCAGATCGTTTTCCCACATAGAGAATTAGTATAGCGGTAATCCTCGACGTTAAGACCGGAATTGAATCCATGCGTGGTCATTAAGCAGGTCACCATGTGGCCATGCCCAATTTTACCAATTTTGCTACTTTTTTTGCAGCAGCAGTCATTAAATGGGTCCATTTAATGGTTCTGTGATCATTCGTAAATGCTAGAAATCAGCAAAAAATGCTGAAAATTGCACTTTCATAACCACGGGATGCTGCAAACAGCTGTTGATGTGAGCCAGTTGCTAAACATCCCTAATGCGATTATGTCATTATTTTAAAAAAGTTTTTACCTTTTATGACTCTAAGCTGCCCAGAGTTGCCTTGAGGTTAAGATAGGCGGCCTACAAACTTTATCAACAAATAACACAAAAAAATAACCCAGGGTGTGTGTGTAGGGACTTCAGAACTTCAAAAATGGGCTATTAAGTAACTCTGGGGAGGTCTGTTTGAACTTGGAATGGTGGTTCAAGGACCGGGTGTTAAACAAGGATCATCGCGCGCCCCTGTTGGAGTCTGATTCTGAGGGGGGGTCGAACAGCTGACAGGGAGTGGGAGTGTGGCTCTGGTGGCTGTGGAGGAAATTGGGGAAGGGCACAGGCCGGCTGGGCATTCAGAGGAAGACCCAGGCCGACCCGCTCTTCATCTTAGGCACATAGGGAGGAACGGATAAGGAAGCAACGTGGGTTACGGGGGAGAAAAAGGCCCTGATTCCCTTCATTGGCTGCAGCTGGGGAAACAGGATAAAGAGGGTGTTTGCGCACAGCTCCTTGCTGGAAGCAAAGCGTGCATTATCTTTGCTTGTCAAGTCCTATCTGGGTTCTGGCGTCCTCCCAACTGTATGTGTTTCGTTATCTTTTTGTTCTGCAATTCTTTATCCTGCCCTGTCTCGTTAATTGCTGCAGCTTGTGGTTTGTGTTGGTTTTTATTTATAATTTATAGGTACTTTGGGTTCCGACTAGTATTTCTTCCCTTTAAAAACTCTTCCTGGGAGAGTTTTTTCTCCAGCCAATGATAACTGGACATTGGAAGCCAAGTTGGAGAAATTAAAGGGACTTTACCTGCTTTTGTGACTTTGTTGCTTTTGTGCCACACCCTGGGTCATCACAGATCACCTGTGTGTTCAAAAAGGCTTCCAAAGATTGAGTTGCTCACTCTTTGTGCTCAACATTTGTGCAGATGCAGCCAACTGCTTGGTCACATATAGGTAGTCCTCAACCTACAACAGTTCATTTAGTGACCCTTCAAAGTTACGACGGCACTGAGAAAAGGGGACAAAGGACCATTTTTTCACACTTACGACCTTTGCAGCATCCCCATGGTCAGGGGATCAAAAGTCAGCCGCTTGGCAACTGGTTCACACTTATGACCATCGCGGCGCCCCAAGGTCCTGTGATCCCCTTTTGTGGACCCCCTCCGCAAGCCAAATCAATGGGGAAGCCAGATTCACATAACAACCAGGTTACTAACTTATCCACTGCAGCAATTCACTTAACCACCGTGGCAAGAAATGTCGTAAAATGGGGCAGAACGCACTGAACAAACGTCTCCCTTCACAACAGAAGTTCTGGGCTCGATCGTGGTCGTAAGTCGAGGACAGCCTGGAATAGGTTTCCAAAGAACCTCGAAGGGCAAGCGATCTGCATTTGCTCCAAAGTTACGACTATTGCAGAATCCGTTCCATTCAAGGGAGAGTCAGCTGCTTGGGGTTGATGGGATTAGCTTCATAGGGAACAGACGAGAGAAGGTGCTACTCAGACCTTTAGGTCAGTGAGGACTAAACTTTTCGGCACCAAGTGCCCAAAGCATGCGGGCCCCCCTGCACATGTGGCCATGACCCCCCCCTCGCGCATGCATATGCGCCTCCCATGCATATGCACATGACCCCTGCACCCTCTGCATGACTCCCCTGCAGATGCACACGCAACCCTGCAGTTGCACATGATCCCGTGTCCACCACGCCCTTCCACGCAGGTGCATGCAACCTCCACACGTGCCCTGACCCCCAAACATGTGCGGCAGAAACCCGAAGACCAGCTGGCCAGCGGGAGGCGCGGGTGCGCATACGCGGCTGAGCTGAGCTGGGGTGACGGCTCACGTGCCCAGAGAGAGGGCTCTGGGTGCCACCTCTGGCACGTTTGCTATAGGTTCACCATCACGGCTCTAGGTCCTTGGCCATGGTGACTGTTAGGATGCAACAGGCTCATTAATTAAGTCCAAAATGTAGGCGTCTCTTCATCTGAATCCAAAGTGCTGCTAGGCCCCTAATGTGGATAGCAATAGCCCTTAGCACTTATATACGACTTCACAGTGCTTTCTGGCCCTCTCTTAAGTGGTTTAAAGAGTCAGCGTGTTGCCCCCAACAATCTGGGCCCTCATTTTACCCACTTCGGAAGGACAGAAGGCTGAGGGAGGGAGGGAGGGAGGGAGGGAGGGAGGGAGGGAGGAAGGAAGGAAGGAAGGAAGGAAGGAAGGAAGGGCAATAGCTCTTAGACTTATATACCACTTCACGGTGCTTTTACAACCCTCCCTAAGCGGTTTACAGAGTCAGCCTCTTGCTCCCACAATCTGGGTCCTCCTTTTACCCACCTCGGAAGGACGGAAGGCTGAGTCAACCTTTGAGCCTGGTGGGATTTGAACTGCCAAATGATAAGCAGCTGGCTGCAGAAGTAGCTTGCAGTACTGCACTCAACCACTGCACCACAGAGGCTCCTTATACAGGTAGTATAAGGATACAGGTAGTCCTCAACGTACGACCACAATAGGGCTCAAAGTTTTATGTTGCTAAGTGAGAAGTTTGTTAAACGAGCTTTGCCCCATTTTACGACTTTCTTGCCACCTTTGTTAAGTGAATCCCTGCAGCTGCTAAATTGGTCAAACGGTCGCTGAGTGAATCTGGTTTCTCCATTGACTTCACTTGTCCGGAAGGTCGCCAAAGGCGATCACGTGACCTAGGGCACTGCAACCGTCATAAATCTGAGTCGGCTGTCAAGCATCTGAATGTAAATCACGCACCCATGGGGATGCTGCAACGGCCGTAAGTGTGAAAAGCAGTCGTCGTAAGTCGTTTTTTTCAGTGCTACGGTAACTTCGAACGGTCACTAAGTGAACTGTTGAGGACTATCAGACCTGGGAATTAGGACGATCACCTGTATTGGAAAGACTTTTTCCAAAGGGACAGGTGTATATACCTTTTGGGAGCTCTGCTTAATTACAAATTGTCATTAAAAGCTTCCCTAACAATTGATGGATCGGCCATGACCTTACCTGAACCAGAATAGACTCTCTTCTGTCATCCATTTCCTAATTAACCTCAAAAATTGCACTCAGCATGGAGCTATTCTTCAAAGATGGTCAGGAAATTGATTCAGACCACCGCTGCCCAAGTATTATGGGATGCTACTTGAAAAGGCAATACTGGCTGCCTGTGAACTCTCAAGATCAATATAGAGTACTTGTTTTCTATCCGCTCGATAGACCCCTTTGCCCTTCAGCTCAAGCAAGCATCCAAGATGGCTACGCAAAATGTTAAAGCCACCATTCAAAAGACCGGGGTGGGGTGGGGAGGAATCATTACCAATAAGTTCCATGTGCTGGTATGAGTACCAATAAAGGAGAATATCTGTAGCTCAGGGTTGAAATGAGGGGTCCTTGGCGCTCTCTGGCCTTGATTGTTTTAGAATAGAAGGGAAGGGAAAGGAATGGAGTGGAAAGGAATGGAGTGGAATAGAAAGGAGTGGAGTGGAGTGGAGTGGAATGGAATGGAATAGAAAGGAATGGAAGGGAGTGGAAAGGAATGGAGTGGAATAGAAAGGAGTGGAGTGGAGTGGAGTGGAGTGGAATGGAATGGAATGGAATAGAAAGGAATGGAAGGGAGTGGAAGGGAATGGAAAGGAATGGAGTGGAGTGGAAGGGAATGG